GGGGGGGGGGTCTTAGAATGTATTCCCAATGGATTAAGGGGGGATTACTGTAATAGACTTATAATGGTATCCTTTAAAATATCAAGTTTAGGTATTATCTGTTCATTTTTCAGTGGAAAATGAGGATTTACACCACAACCACTCACATTCCTCCAACCTTTAAGATAATTAACTCCCAATTGTGGTTCTGTGCCTGATGAGATTAGCAGTAAACTACTACTTAATCATATTTCCCTTTTTGTACAACTCTTTTTCCCCTTGAGTTAATTGACCTTAGTTTTTTATTGCTTAGTTTTCTATGTACCTACCACAAATTTTTTCCCATACTCTTCACAAGCCCCTCAATTAAATTTTAATGCTGATGACTTTAATCTCAAAGTAAGAGACAAGATCACTGACCACTTGAGGACAGAACTGAAAAGTTAAGATTTGAGATGAAAAATATTCAGAAACCTAGTTCTGAGAAATACTATAGAAAATCAACTGAAATAAATTTTATCAGGTATTTACCAAACTACATACTAAAAAATAGTCCATGATGCCCTGGCTCAGTGGTTCTCAACCTTCTGGCCCTTTAAATACAGTTCCTCATGTTGTGACCCAACCATAAAAAATTATTTTCGTTGCTACTTCATAACTGTAATGTTGCTACTGTTATGAATCGTAATGTAAATATGTGATATGCAGGATGGTCTTAGGCGACCCCTGTGAAAGGGTCATTCGACCACCAAAGGGGCTGCGACCCACAGGTTGAGAACTGCTGCCCTAGTTGGTTTGGCTTAATGGATAGAGCGTCAGCCTGCGGACCAAAGGGTCCTGGGTTCGATCCCAGTCAAGGGCACAAACCTTGGTTGCAGGCTCCTCTGGCCCTGGCCCTGGTCAGAGGCAACCAATCAATGTGTTTTCTCTCACATTGATGTTTTTCTGTCTTTCCCACTCTCCCTAGTGGAAAAATATTCTCAGGTGAGGTTTAACAAAAAAACAAAACAAAACAAAAATATCCATGAGAGGAGTTCCATTCCTAATCAGGTTATAGAAAATCACAATAGACCATCACTTTCACCCTAATAATCGAAACAAGCCAGATAAGCTACAAAATCATAGTTTTTCTGAACCCATCAGAGAGCTAAGGATGCAAAGCAACCTAAGTGGAATTAACTGGCAGAAGAGAGGCACACAGGTGGTCTCTTTCCTGATGGAGGGGCTAAGGAGGAATAGTTCCACCATAAGAGAAACCAGCCTACCTTTAATAAATCTTAATAGTAACATGTAGGCTGACAAGATATATTAGAATTCCACAGATTTCACAGAGCAAATCACTCATTCCCACAGGTCTTCACCAAAGTGCTTGAAAATATGACCAAGATTGGGGGACAGAGCTGGAAAGCTGAGAGAAACCCTAAGAAGCTTATCGTCTCCCTCAAATGCAATAAATGTGTCCTCTGATGGGAGGAGAAGTATGGGATGAGCAAAAGTGAAAACAAAAAATCATTCCAAAAAGAACCATTTCCACCCAGATCCTCTGCACATTATTACCAGGGCAGGTAGGTTTGCTGAGAGAAAACCC